AGAGAGAGAGAGAGAGAGAGAGGGGGGGGAGAGGGGGAGGGGGATGGAGAGAGAAAGGGAGATGAAAGAAATGTGAGTACTTTTGTCATGTACCTTCCGCCAGCGGACTTCACGCTTGATTTGCCGGCATTTAATTAACCCAGCTGCTCAGTGGATTAAGAACAGCTGTGTCACACACGATACGGGAACACTATTTGACATTTGAACGTTCCATCCTCTCGGTGCTGATTATATTCATTGCATTTCGTATTGAACTCTGTATCGTGGGCGAATCGCTGCGGGCTTGTGTGAAATTCAAAATGTATTAACTGAAACGCTGAGCCTTTTCGCTTAAAATAGATGATCTAAACGTCTGAAATAATTATTCGTGACGCGCGCGAGAAGAAAAATAATTAGAGAAGAAAGTATGTAAAAAGAATTATCAGAAAAATAAATATACACGAAGAAAATAAGGATATCACTTGCTCAAGTGTGATTGTCGTAACAAAATATTAATGTTATTTTTCCAAGCATACAAAATAGTTGTGTCTATGGTACTCTGGAGAAGTGGTACATTAAACTTCTTTACATGCATATGTGTTTGAGTAGTACTCTCAGTGTACGGTGCAATCAAACTCCATGGATCTCTTAACCATATTTGTTCTGCAGACCACAATAGAGAGACAGCAATATTCTTTTAGTTGAGGTTAAGGATGTATATGAGGGTAAACATTATATATCATAAGAATTATAGCTGTCAAAACTGTATAGATGGGCATATAATAACAGTAACTTTTAATGCCATATCTTTTTCACATAAAACCACATAAATTTTCTCTTTAACATATAGAATATGTAGATATAGCAACTATAGTTTTCTCTGTGTAGAATTTGCAAAAAGATAAGCAGATAAACTGAAATTTTTCGGAACGACTAAGAATACATCTGAATGTCGAAGTACACAAGGAGAAAATTTTATAATAAAAACTATTAGAAAATTTTCTAATAGAAAAATATATCGACATTCTGCCTTGATTTATTATTCTTCCGTCCCAAATATGTTCTTTAGGAATTAAAATGTATATTATACCTAAGAAAATATGGTCTCATTCTTAGCGGAATCCCTTTATGTATGACCTCAAGATAATTCTTCGAAAATCAATTAAAAAATATTCTAAATACAATATAATTCTTCTTTACTAGAAGATAGATACTCTTTCGACAAAAGTTCTCGCTTAGAATAAGAGATTACAGGAAATAGCATCATGCAAGTAGAGTTTTTTTGGAATTAAAATATTTCTTTAAAAAAAAATTCTTTTATAAAGACAAGATTGCATTTTTTTGTGTGCAATCGCTCGCTGAAGAAATCACTTTATCAGTGTAGCCTCGTCGCACGCCAAACCGGTGTTATCAGTCGTATTCTCAACGTGTCGATAACGTGCAAAAGTTACGCGTCGATAATACAATGTCGTTATTTGCATGTTACCGCAATGGCGAAGACCTCATTACACACTTGCCATTTGTCGCTCGATGGGGACGCGTTATTGGCACCACAGCAATTTCCTCGAGCAATATTTAGGACTCGGCTGGTGCAATCATTCGACTTGAGAATGACGCGCGACGCAATCGACGCGTCGTGCACACGTGTCGGTGGACACGCGCGCATACACATTTTCACACGCGCTATCCTCATTTATTTGCGTCATTTCGCACGCGATTTGTCCGCCACGGCTCCCGAGCGTAATCGTGCGTACGCATATAGAACGATAAACACCAAGCCTCGCCCGGCGTTACTTTATTGCGAACGGTGTCGGGTAGCTGCGTGTCTAGGAATAGCGAGATTCCCTTGCTTTGCCGACAGACTCTCCAATCGCCGTGAAACACTTTCCTAACGATCTCGAGATGCAATAATAGCTCTTCTTATCTTTGAGAATTTCGAAAAATTTAAGAATTCGAAGAATTTAAGAATTTTTTAGGAGTCTTATTTCTCATTTCTCCATTGGCCACATCCACAATAATCGGTCAAGTATCGTTAGCCGCGTTAATTAACGATTTTTATTTTTTGGTTGCGAAATTAATTATCTTTTTCGACGTATAACCGTAATTGTAGATCGACGTGTGTAACTGCGCACGCTCAATTCTACCTTGAATACCGTCGGACACGTGTAAATCGGTTGTAAGATTTTCAGACGCGCGATAAACGAGCAGAAAGAACCTTTACCGCGCGTTGCGGGATAGCTGTGCACGCTCGTGGGTTTGAAATCTAGCGCGCGGTTCATGTTCCGCGTTCCGTCTGTCGGATCGACGGGCCGTACGAGATCTCGAAGCGACAGTGTGGCGCTTGCGCGCAGTGTGTGGCTATGATGGTCGATCGAGACGAGGTGGATATGTCTCGTGTGCCAGTTTTAGTGATCCTGGGTGCCACGGGTTCCGGAAAATCGCGGCTGGGTATCGAATTGGCGCGCCGTTTCTCCGGGGAAATCATCTCGGCCGACAGTATGCAGGTAAGCGGCCACGTGTCGCGCGGAGCACGTCGGCACCACGCACCACGTTGCGATGAAGGTTAGGTGTGCCGCGGCACGACTTTCAAACTAAACTTGTTTACCGTCCGTGCAGAGAGGAGCTCGTGGGAGCGTTCGGAAAAGCGCCGTTCCCCGAGCAGCGTCACCGCGTTCATTCATAGTGCCGTGAAAGGTACGTTCGTAAATGCGATTGTTCTGTGTGTGTCTCTCTCTCTTCCTCCCTCTCTCTCTCTCTCTCTCTCTCTCTCTCTCTCTGACGGAGAAGTGTATTCTTGTGCAATTGAGTATGTGTATTTATATAATCAAGTATGATTATACGTGGTGATATTAATTTGGGGACAATAAAAGTGCGCGGTATTTACGACTAAATACGGAATATAACGAATAATATGACATGTTGTGCATAACGTAATCGTGAGATGTACGTTCTAATATTCAACTTGTTTTCTCTCTTTGACGAGGAAGTAGATTCTTATGTAATTATGGGTGCATATTTATATAGCTGTATATAATCGATTATACATGGTGATATTAATATAGGGGTGATAAAAGTTCGCGATATTTACAAACAAGTGCGGGGTATAATGGATAATACGACATATATATATATATATATATATATATATATATATATATATATATATATATATAAACATGTTATATCCAATCTTAGGATTGTACTTCAGTTATTTTCTAAATTTTTGTTTCCTGAATTATTGTTTTTTATTCAGTTGTTATGCTAAAATTATTTCGAAGAGTTGATGTAGCTGTCAAGTTGTGAAAAAAGCCTGCGACATTATGTATCGTAAGATCTCTTCACCATTAACGCTCCTCAGCTTCCCATAATTATTCTCACGTGACAATGGTGAAGTTCGTCTTGCACGCTTTCGTGCTGAAAATATCGTTCTATCTTACTTTGATAATTTAATAAACGATAAAGATAAAATAAACGATAAAGAAAATATCGTCCTATCTTACTTTGATAATTTAATAAACGATAAAGATAAAATGATGCTTTCAGCACGAAAACGTGTAAGATGAACTTAGCCAATAACACTACGATGCCGCGACGTCATTGCTCCCGTGACGTCATGGGCGGCTTAAATGCCCGAAAGTTAAATCCATTTGTCTGTTCGCGGTTGACGGCTTTTAAATTCGTCTGACGCATTTGGTTAAAGCGTTCAGAACGCGAGAAAAAGCGATCTCTTTCTCTCTTTTTGTACGCTTACGCGCGCGCGCGTACATTGAAAGTAATTAATTTAAAAATAACTTTTTAGAGCTTTAATTTTGAAATCAGTTAAAATATTAGATTCTTAATTGTAAAATCAAATTTGAAAAAAATTATTCAGTGAGTAATTTAGAAAATAAATCGGGGAAAATTGAAATCTCGGAAAGAAGCATCATCTTAATTTTTTGGAAGATTTTTTCAATCAATTAATTCCCTCTATATGAGATTTCTGATCTTCCATAATAAAATTTTTATTTTTAAACGTTCCTCTCCGATGAATTAACGACGTTTTAGCCTACGAAGGACCGAAAATCGATTTCTCTCTCTCTCTCCTTCTCTCTCTCTCTCTCTCTCTCTCTCCTTCTCTCTCTCTCTCTCTCTCTCCTTCTCTCTCTCTCTCTCTCTCTCTCTCTCTTTTTCTTTCTCTCTTTTCTCTTCGCGAACATAAATCACGTTCCTCCACGGATCGGCATCGTAAACGGTTTGCTACGTTAACGCTATACGGTGACGATAAGAAGCACATGAAAGCATCTCTAAGCAAGGATCGCGTTTCCGCGTGGATTCCGGCACATCTCGCGGACGGAAATTCGAACCGACGCGTGTAACTTCGCTTGTGAGACAGCGAGTGAGAAAAAAACGGTCAAATGAGACGTCATTTCTCACGAGTGATCTCGAATAAAAAGGGGAAAAACGCCGAATCACGTGGATCGAACATCGCATGCCAGCCTCACAGCTGGCCGTGGAGCGTTTAACGTTCCTCAGTGCTGTACCTCGGAAATTCAGGTCTCATCAGATCCTTCGGGCCATATTTAAATTGGAATTGTAGCCGTAAACTTGCGGCTATTTATTTGGCTTTTGACGCGCGGGCAGCTCAGATTGCCTCGGTTGCGTTAATCGTGCGGCACGTGAATCTTAAGACGCCGTCGCCGTCGTCGTCGTCGCCAATATCGCCGATGACAGTCATTCATCGCGGTCATAAGTGTTATTGTCATTGTCGGCTTCCGTTGGCCGCGTTTCCGTACTTGATCGTCGCGTCGCGACGTCATACGAGCGACTAGCGAGGTCGGAGGTCGCGTGTGTCTCGCGTGGAATCACGCTTGTTGTCCATAAATTAACAGTTTTAATTGTCGTACGTGCACACACACAGACGCACGCATACGCATATATACACACACTAACACACATACACGCATATATGCCGGTAGACACGAGGCGCGTCGGTAATCTAATCGCACGGCCATGACATAAGGCACAACCCTGCTCGCAATCGTGAGCGGGCTTGTCCTTCGTTTCAATCGAATTCCGTCTTGCCAACAACCGACGCAGATTCATGCTTGTTTCCTGTTGAATGCCCTTCCGGCGAATTAACATAGTTGTCTGATCTACTAAGGACCGAAAGTCGACCCCTCTCTTTCTCTCTCTCACATATACACAGATATTGAAAGCAATTAGAGTAAAGGTACCAAAAGCGACATACCACTTCGTTTTTGAAGGTTATATCTTAATGTAAAGCTCAAAATATAAGTGTAAATATATGTACATGTAGTTAGAAGTACTCTCTATCAGATAATATCATATTTATAATGATTTATAATTATAATTGTTTCTAGATTTAACATAAAAAATGTTTTTGTAATACGCACGAAAATAGAGTTAAAAAAAAATGGGTTTCAAAAGCGACATCTATTGGAAGTTATATAACATGTTGCATATATAGTAATATTTGATAATAAATAGTTCATTAATGCGTTTAATGGTTGAATAATATTTATTTATTCAAAATATAATGTTACAAAAGGGAAACATAATTAAATAAAAACATATCTTTGGCATTTCCACCTTTTTTATTTCTCACATATTTTATATGTTATATTTTTAAACTAAACAAAATTAAACTTTAAAATAAACAAATGCACGTCACAATAGGAGATTAGAATTAGGTTATGTTAGTCACAGAATATCGCATCTATCGCATACTATAGATATGTCACTTTAAGACACATTCTCATAAAATTTTTCAAGATATACAGTAGAAAAGTGATGAAGATAAAAATATTCAAAAAATATTTTTACAAAAGCCAAATGCATGTAGAAGAACTTAATATTGAACAAAAAGGTAATTATTGCTGTTTAGTCTACGTAATTCGTCAATAAAAATCATAGAAATAAAACTTACGAATTTCTAAAACTCCATATTTGCTAATTTAGCGTATAAAAGAACAAGAAATATACCAAGTATGAATTTTTCATAACTTAACTGATAAAACGAATTACGTTTATATTAGTTTCGATAAAATACAACATTTAATATATGAGATATAGAGGTATGTCGCTTTAGAGGGTCTATGTCGCTTTTGGCTACTTTCCTCTAATTTAAAAATTAGATTCGAACTTCTAAAATTAAATTAAATTTTAGTTTCTAAAATTGTATTTAAAAAATTATTATAATATTTATCAAGTAATTTAGGAAATAAGCCGGAAAAGAAATTAAAATCTCAGAAACAAGCGCGTCGTTGTAAATTTTCAGAGAATACATTCAAATGATTGGCTACGTCCCTGATTTCTACGATTCTCTACAATGAACAATTTTTATCTTTGATTGCCTCTTCAGCAAATTAACAAGGTCGCAACGTCTTGGTCTACGAAGGGCCGAAAATCGGCCTTTTTCTCTTTTAATCACGTATTAAAACTGATTAATTTAAAAATTAGATTTATAACTTCAAAATTAATTAATTATTATAGTTGATTATAATGAATCAATTTTAATTCACTATAATTTCAGATTAATTGAAATTTAAATAATAATTAATTAATTTAAATAATTAATTGAAATTATAATAAATTAAAATTAATTGTTTTAGAAATTAGATTTTTAATTATAAAATTATATTCGACAAATTAAATTAATTATTAATTTAGAAAATAAATAAAGATATTAATACAAATAATAAATAAGATAAATAAATCAGAGGAAAAAACAAAAATCTCGTAAGGAGGCATCTCCTCGTAATTTCTCGGGGGATTCATTCAAATGATGGATTACGCACTTTTGCGACCTGTCACGACGGATTTTATCTTCGAAATTACACTTCGTGCCTCTCGAAGTCTAGCCGGCGGTCTAGCGGCCCCGTTTATTTCGGTACCCTTTCGCGCGGCGTCAGCTCGGATTTCTTTCCCGTTCGCGGTCACGCGTGACTTCACTCGCGTGCATAAATCACGTGCTCGCGCGGTCGCGCCGCGACACGTGTCTGCCCACACGCGGGTGCGGAAGAGAAAGAGAGAGAGAGAGAGAGAGAGAGAGAGAGAGAGAGAGAGAGCTCGATAAACAGATAGACAAAGAGGGAATATTGGCGTCCGACTTATTTATTCTTATATTCAGATTCGTTGCGCCAGACGACGAGATGCGCGAGAGCGTCCTCGCAATTACCCGCGATCCGAATAATAAAGCGACGGGGTAGAGTAAGCAGGGGCTGAAGGAAATTTCAAGACTGCTTTTAATTGGAAAAGAACGAGACACGCGAGACCGTGTTTTTGCCCGCAAGCAAATGATTCGAATTCGTTTGCTTATTATTCGCACGAACCGATCGCTCGCACCTCTCGCGCTCGATAGCAGTCGTCGTCGTTGACGACGGCGCGACGACCAGCCGTGTGAATAAAAACGAGCGCGACTGCGGGAAAGAGAAAGACCCGGCCTCTCGACGTGATCTTATGTTAATGAAATGAATAAGTTTGTAGCCGATAGCGCCGAGATTCC